AGTGTAGTGGTTGTGAGTGTTCAAGTCTACCCTCCTCACCCCTCTTGTTTGTAGTATATTGGAGCATGTGTGTTGTGATGTTGATAATTAAAACAACGTGTTGGATTCCTTTCAAAGGTGTTGTTTACTGTTTGTGTTAAATCCGTAAATACACTACAGGTTGTAGTGAACTTTCTCTAACAAATGGCTGAGAAGAAAAAAGTCTACAAGGTCTAGGTTTTATAGCTTGGTCAATTAGTTGAAAGTCAGGTTGCTAATTATTTTGTTTTTTTTTTTAATAAAAATTGTGTGGGGCATTTGAACAAATTTATTAATTTTGCCTGTGGAATAGAAATTTTAGGAAACCTATTTCCAAAAGTTTAAATGCCCAGGATTTTTCTTCAAATAGAGTGATGCTCAATTCTCATCATTATTATTATCCCTGTTGTCACCTACATTATTAACATCGGCAAAAGTGAACAATAGCTCCTATGTTCGGCTGTCGGCCAACTGTCGGCCGACACATTACCGACAGCCGGCCGACGGTGTTAACCAGACCGTACGTACCAATTTTTCTATTTACCTACCTTCTAACTTGTATTTTTACACTAAAATAGGCTTGCTTGCTCGGTAGCAAAAAGGAAGTTTTTCAATTGCCCTATAATACATTGCGAAACCATAGTTTACAATACTTCATGTGTGTCTGATTAATCTTTCTTTTCTTGTGACAGGTCGCGATCATCGCACTTTTTGGCGTATTGTGACAATTAAAATTTTAAAGTATACCTTTTTTTTTGGGCGTTTCATTAGACTTCATTCGGGAGTGTTTTGTCTTTCTTTTTTAACCATCTGCGTGCTACGTGCACATTCCCGCCAGGATGCTTGCAAGACGCGATCGGCCAAAAACGTGAAAACGCTTTGAAAACTCCGGATAAGAGCAAGTAACTCAAAATTATTCATGAAATCGAGCCAATATGGGCATGTTTCGCTAGCCAACGCAAGCAAGTTAGGCAATAGCCATACTAACTATCTCTCTGCAATTAATTTTTCCCGTTTTGACGTAGTTGTTGAAGCGATAGATAAGTAACTGTTTGCGATCATTTCAGCACAAGACTTACCGACACATTACCGCCGGATCACCGACAGGTTACCAACAGACGGCCGACTGTTGGTCAACTGTCGGCCGATGGTCGGCCGACACTTTAGTCTGCAACATTACGAAAACTGTCGGCCGACAGTTGGCCTTCTTGACCGTTCGAATGATTTATTCACCCGTTCGAACGTTTTGCCCGTCCGTTCGAAATTTTTACTCATCCGATCGAACGGCTAACCAAACCGTTCAAATAATTTATTCACCCGTTCGAACGGTTAGGCAAACCGTTCGAACACTTCAAGGACCTTTCGTTAACCATTCGTCATCTGTGCGTTTTTGCCATTCAAACGATTTTCCGTTAGTCTCCGCTTTGCCTTTCACGGTCATATTTTTCTATGAGTAACATTGCTTCTGGTTTTTATGATTGCAAAATTTGGATCTTATTGCCTTATTAACTAGCTATCTAAATGTATTAAAGGCAGTAGACTCTTCTACACTAATAATATGCCGACTCTCCCTGATTGTCAGGGAGTCTCACAGACACAGAATAAGACTCTGGGTCTCCCTTGAACCTTTAAGATAAAAGAGGATTTGGGTCATTTCCACACAGAAACATAACATTTGAACTCCAGATTTCCCACATCTAATGTTATCTTGCCTTTTCCTAATATTAGGGTTCTTATCTTAGTTTTCTTGATTGCACTTAGATTGTTTCAAAGTAGAGATTACACTTTCTTCCAAACAACAACCACAACAGCAACTGAGTCTGATTGGTTG